ATTCTAGAATCATATAATATGTTTTTCAAAAATGTACACGATGATGTGGATGGAGGTCTACTTCTATACATACAGGCAATGTTTTCAGCAAAAGAAGTTAAATCAGGCAACGATTTCCATAAAAATCTGTTTGTGGAAATTCAGTTAGACAAAAGTGATAAACTACTAATAGGTCTAACATATAGATCAGACAGTGGTACCTGTTATAATTATGAAAACTTGATTAAAACCACGTTACAAACAGAGGATATTCTCACTACTTATCATATATATATTGATATTGACTGGAACTTGTGGGAAACGAAGAGGGAATTAACAAAATCACTAATTGTTTTGAATGCATACAAGCGAGTTACCAGCATTTTGATTTAAACATATTTTATTGTATCAATATATACATTGGCCAACTTATATTAAGCCCTTTCCTGAAAACTATTGTACAAACAAATATACAAGGTGGCATGTTTAAGTGACAAATGTATCAGAGAGAGAGAGAGAGAGAGAGAGAGAGAGAGAGGGGGGGGGGGGGGGGGGGGGGAGAGAGAGAGCTAACAACACAATTGTAATCTGACATTTATAAAGATAATATAGTTAATATGGTCTCTCCCAGACAAGGATAACACCATGAACTGTTCACTGTACATTGCTTTCTTACTTTTCTAATGTTCATCACGTCCCGTTCTCAAGTGCTTTCTCCTCTTCATTTCGAATCCTTCTGAATACACACCCTTGGCGCCATACATTGCGGGAGAGACCAATAATAATATTTATGTACATTAATTATAATTATATATCTACGGTAATATATGTTAGTTTCAGCGACAATATTATAAATAAACGGGGTAAAAAGTATATAAGAAAGAGAAGGAAATCAAAATCTATTAGAGTCTATAATATACTGTTGAGTGACTTGACTTATTCTAAAATTTTCATTTGCAGATAGATTGTCATTACCATATAAGAGCAAATGCAGGTCAATCGGATTATAACTATTTACCAGCATGTATCTAACCCGACAAGATAAAGAGGTAGCAATACTCCTAATGAGCTTAATTTAATTCTCACTAATGACAGAGACAAAGTATCAAATATTGACTATCAAAGCCCACTTGGAAAAAGGGACCATTGTTTATCGATTTTTTATGTGAAAATATCGATCAAGTGAAAAAAGGACGTGCTGCAACAATGTAGATAAACCAAGCTATACTAACCGAGGAAAAGGACTGAGCCCTAGAAATGGAATATAGAAAAACTGGAAAGTCTTCTATAGTACAGTGAAAAAGATTAACGTGGAGCATTAATAGCTCACAAGACCAACTACAATACAGAATACATAGGGTGTAGAATATTACCAAAATGAATAGGTATGAATTGAACTTAAAAAGCAAATCAAACCCCAATGTAGAACGGGGATACATTAAGTCAAAGAGAACAATAAATAGAGGTTCCAGTGACCTAAATAAAGATAGCAATGGCCCTGAACCACCACCAGTGGCGAATGACAAAGAAAAGTCGGGGGGTTCTGACAAATTTCTCTCGGAAAATATTTGTGAATGAACATGAGGGGGAAGTACCAGGTTTTGAGGAGAGAGATTATGTTTAGATGACATATCTGAAAAAAACCTATGAAAATTTGAAATCCAAACTTGAACATCTCAAAACCGTCAAATCACAAGAACTGGATGAACTGCATTCAAGATTTTCGAAGGAGACTGCAGGGAGTATAAGTTCTCCTCTGACATTAGTATCCAATCACTCAATGAAGGAACGGATTATACCGGAGGATTGGAAACAAATCAGCGTAATTTATCAGATGGAGGACATGTGACCCTGACATCAATAGTTTGCAAGACTATGGAATCACTGATCAGAGATCACATGTAAAACAGCAACCATTTCAGCGACAAACAATTTGGTTTCATATCAGCCAAGTCGACTAGTCTACAACTATTAGAGGTAGTAGAAGAATGGACCCATGACCATGAAAACCCTGTATATTGTATCTATATGGACTATCAAAAAGCATGGATACGATTCTACAAAAGAGGCTACTTAGCAAACTAAATTCCTACGGAATAAGCAAAGAGGTGATATATTGGACAGAAATCGTCCTAGTTGGGACGACACAAAGACTTTCAATCAATTTTTATAATTCAAACTGGACTGATGTAATTTCAGAGATTCCTCAAGGTTCGGTTCTTGGACCGATATTGTTTGTGACTTCATAAACAACCTTCCAGATATAGTAAGTTAAAAAAATTATTTACTCACAGATGACACAAAAATCGTTAGATCTATGTGAAAAGCAGAAGATACTGGTAAACTATAACATTATGTCAGAGTGGAGCAGCAAACAGTTATTGAAATTCCATCCGGATTAACGTACACATATGATTCTGAGGAAAACAACGCAATCCATCATAGACTGATACACACCTGGCAATGTGACATTACTAATAACAGAAAAAGGCATTGGAGTTGTTATAGACATTAAGCTTTTAAAGACCATATAAGTGAACAGGTAAACAAATTCTATGTTTGCCATAATAAGAAGGACCTTTCAACACCTAGATACAGACCTGTTCTGTTTACAAAAGTCTGGTGACATCTTGATAATGCCAGTCCAATATGGTACCCATGTAAGATGAAATACATAGAAAAAATTGTACTGGGAAGAGCAACCAAGCAAATACCTTGTCTTAAAGGACTGAGTTACCCGGAGCAACTACCTTGTCTTAAAGGACTGAGTTACCCGCAGCAACTACCTTGTCTTAAAGGACTGAGTTACCCGGAGCAATTACCTTGTCTTTAAGGATTGAGTTACCCGGAGCAATTACCTTGTCTTTAAGGACTGAGTTACCCGCAGCAACTACCTTGTCTTAAAGGACTGAGTTACCCGGAGCAATTACCTTGTCTTTAAGGATTGAGTTACCCGGAGCAATTACCTTGTCTTTAAGGATTGAGTTACCCGGAGCAATTACCTTGTCTTTAAGGATTGAGTTACCCGGAGCAACTACCTTGTCTTTAAGGATTGAGTTACCCGGAGCAACTACCTTGTCTTTAAGGATTGAGTTACCCGGAGCAATTAAGTAGACTACCAAAACTATCTTACAGAAGAATAAGGGCAAACATGATCGAGGTTATGCATGGGTACTATGACCCTAAGTGTGATACGCTATGGAAATACGAATCACAAGTCAAGGGAAGAGGGTCATTAAAGATCTGCCCACATCAGGGTAACTCAGAACTAAGGAAAAGCTACTTCACACTATGAACAGCACATAATAACCTACCTGAACAGATTGTACGACTAGATAGGAAAAGTATTAGGAAAACCAGGAAGTCCTGTAGGACAACTACAAAGCTAGCTAAAAAATTGGAGATGGTTTGAGAGACATAAACCGGGATGAAATCATCGAGTCTCGTTTAGAGAATTAACCGGCCTGCATCGAAACATATCGCTAAGTAAGTATGTCATTCAAAAATCAACACGACAACATCAGTAGCAATTCTTTATTTGAATAATTATGATAGACATATACTTTGAATTACAAGTGATATTTGTGAAATAAGAAGAGCAGAAGATTTGATATATTAGTGTAAAGACCGAGTTTTGTCAAGGAATTAAAGGGCCGTCAAACCATCTACTTCCAAGCACTGTTTATATCATTACTTAGTACCGTCTTGTGGTTAAGGGTGAAAGGGCAAAAACTGGACCCGCGTCTCCCGAACGATAAATTTACGGCTATACTAATCACTGTAACGAAAGCTAAGGAAATATAGACCTGTTCAACACGACAAGCCACATCTGGTCGTTTTCAGCTTTTAATGAGGGGACAAACGCTATTTTGTACCACAAAGTATTTTGTATATATAAGCAATAAAAAGTGTACCATGCAAAACTAACTATTCACCTTACACTTTTAAATGAAAAAAGTAATTAACAGTGTCTGATCGCTATCGACTAGCGTAGAAACTTAACCGAAACATAAGTCGTACTGATGTTTCGCGAAACGCTTTCATTTACACAAGAAAAATTCCAGGCCAAGGACACAGCGATATTATTACTTATATGATACGTTTTCTACCTATCTTATGCAATTTATGCAAATTTTTCAAAATCCATTAATCCACTGTAGTGTGACTATTGCGTCGTCTTAACTCGTCAACAAGGATTTATATGTAAGGTAAGTTTCGTTTTGCTCTAATCTTGGTAAAATCGATAGCTTTTCTTGCTATTTATTTAGTTTGCCGTTTTGTAAGATACGTGTTATATTCCATTATTACTATGGAAATACGTTCGTTTTCAGAAGTAATGTGTCTTAAAACAAGGACACATTTACATTGATATATAGGCGTCTTACGATCTCTCTCTTCTTGGCTAATACACCTGTCCCATCTTTCTGTACGGAAACCGGAAAGTGCCGCACGAAGTAAAAATATTTTATCCTAATATAACGTATTTCTGGTCATAATCCGAACATAAAGCACCAAAATCAAACTAACGAACATAGAGAGAAAGAGATTTCTCGGGAGTAATTTTCAAAAAAAAAAAAATTCTTTCACTCTCGTTGCTTTAATAATGACACAATCTGCACTATTTGATCGCCTTCCCGCAGTTTACTGGTACAGAAGTTGATGGGACTTGGTGACCAGCTACCTGAGCTGTGCAGAAATAACAAAGAAAATGCAGACATATTAATTTTATCAGAAACTCGAATTCGTTAAGTCCGGTAAAAATATACCAGAAGAAAGATTTACGCGAAGACCTATGAAAAAACAAAGGGTGAATTGTTTGCAGCTTTGTCAAAAGTAAAACGTCGATTGGAAACTAACGTATCTGATTTTGAATTTTTCTTCAAAAGTTCTATTCACTTGGGTGTCTTGTACTGTACTGAAAAAATAACGCTCGTTTTTTCAGTTCAAATGAAATGTCTGAGTTAACGAAAAACACACGGGATACGAAATTCTTGTATGAACAACACGCCGAGAAAGTCTCCATGGCTACTCTTAGAGGAAGGGGCTGGGCTGTGACATTGTCTTCCTTCATGCACAGTTTTCTGGTGGACGGAATTTGCTTTTCGTTTGGAACGTTCCTGAATCACTTCCTCGAGTATTTCGGAGGCAGCATTTGGAAGACTCAGCTGCTCAGTTCCATCATAAGTGGTACCTATCTGTGTATGGGTATGTATTACTGGGTATTTTAACTGTTATAGATAGTTTTCATATAATGACACCATAATGTTTTTCCAGTGTATTGAATATTCGCGTTTGTATTCCATACTCAAAATTACAATTTATTAAAATATAAGATTTTGATATTTCCTTCAAGAGTCTCCTCCTAGGGTTCAACATTAGGCGGCCCTCTCCATCACTGACAAGTCTTAGAAGGACAAAACAGTTGTATGGAATAGATCACTTCATCATTTGGCTCTGTCTAATTCTATACTGATGATTGTTATCACCTTGTGTGCATTTTGTACAAACCTTGATAACTATATACAGTTATTTGAAACATAACTCTCTACATGATGTTTTGTCGGGTTTTTACCAAAATTTTCAATGCAAAAGGTGATATGAATTATTTTTTTCTCTGCTAATATATTTTCATGGGTTTATTATCTGTCGACAAAAGTAGTAAAAATATAACTTATTAAAATGTAGTGTAAATCACTTTAACGAGTATCTAAATTCACGAAAGATATGTGATTATCTTATTCGCGGACATATAATTTCGCATTTACCACACTACAAAAGTAATTTATTTAAGGACAATACAGCAAAAGCATATTCGCGAGGGATTTGAATTCGCGAATGATGCTGCTCGCCAATAAACGCGAAATACAATCCCTCGCGAAAATAAGTGATTTACAGTTGAGATGTAAAATGCAAACTAAACATGCTGATCCCTGAAGGTGTGAACATTTGTTCCCCCACCTCCTCCTATTGGCAACCCTTATGTACATACATTTCACAATACAGGCTTGGTGTCCGGAGCTCTGATAAACAGGTTTGGCTATAGACGGTTAGTAATTACAGGATCGGTTATAGCCAGTGTTGGACTTTTCCTGTCCACGTTCTCACCAAACCTCGACGTTATGATCCTGTTGTACGGTGTCGTAAGCGGTAAGTCTTTATATCTAACGTCATTATATATGTGTATTGTGACGTACATGTATTTCACTGCTTCAGATTCGTTTTAAGGCACGTGATTTTTGCATCGTTTTATTGTTTGGTAATTCTATGGTATTTATTTTGGCATTAAACTTTTAGTTGTTTTGATGTATTCTTTTTTGATAGAGCGATATGTAAACTTTCTTAGCTATGAATACCTTGTTTTCTATGAGATTTCGTTGTTGTTGTTGTTCTGATTGACTGACTGATAGATCGGTTAATTGACTGATTGGTTGATTGGTTGTTTCGTTCCCAGATGATTTGTTGGAGAAGTCTGTTTGGAGTTCATAACTCAATAATCTGGGTAGTGTTCGACAATTACAATATCTCGAAAAAATACTAACATGTCAACATAATCATAATCCAAACTCAAATTCAGTAAAACAAAGGTAAAATATGAAAAAAGAAAGATTTACATGAAGACTCCTGAAAGGTAAAAGAAGGAAGAGTAAGCATCTTTTGCTTCACTGACGACACTCGCCGTGTAAATTTTGTTCAATCCAAGTAGATAATGTCACGTTTTCAAATGAGAACAACGGAAGTCACAGACAAACTAACGAGCACCAAACACGTCCAGCTCCATATCGAATCAAGAATTAGGATATATGTAAATGATATCACTGCTATGAATGGTCGGTTAAATGCTTACCGTTTCTGAATCTGAGCAGAGAAAAAAATATTGAATTAGAAACTAAATTCGACGGAATCTGTCTTGAAACTAATAATCTAAGCTGCAGATTTAACACAATGGTGCTGCTCTGACTGTTCCAGGCATTGGATTCGGACTGGTATACACGCCCTCTGTCGTCATTGTTGGACATTATTTCAGTAAACGTCGAGCCTTAGCTACTGGGATTGCCGTATGTGGGTCTGGAATAGGAGGAATTGTGTTCGCGCCTTTATCAGTCCTTCTACTGAAAACCTACGACTGGAAAGGCGCGTTATGGATATTATCAGCAGTTACGTTAAATGGCGTCATCTTTGCTGCTTCCTACGGCCCTCTTCCGTCGCGAAAATGCTCGAAATTAGACTCACCTACCGCCATGAAAATAAAAGCCCGCAACAAGTCCCAAAGCAAACAATTCGTTCGTGTTTTAAAACAAACTTTTAAGTGGTCACTCCTGACCAGTCCAACGTTTGCTCTGTATAGCATATCTGGGGTTTTGGTGTGCATAGGTAAGCATCTCCAAATGATATTCCGTATAATTTCTTACATTGGTTTATAGAATAGCATATCTAGAATACAACCACACAAAATATAGATAATACATTAGGCAAAAATGTCCATTTTGCTAAAACGGTAAACTTTAGATTTAGTACAATGCTTCTGCTTTGATATACCTCAAACAGTAACTAAGTGTTCTTTGTATTTAAGGAGATGAGAAACTCTTGTTGTTATTGTTGTTGTAGTTGTTAAGCAAAGCTATAAACGTTATATAGATTAAAGAAAACTAAATAATACCAGATTACATCACTTCAACAGTTTGTTTTGTTATACAAATCCCAAAAATATTGGCGTTAAATTTCATCCAAGATCCATTCCTTTAACAGGGTTTTATATTCCTTTTAACTTCCTGCCTGTTTATGCCAGTGACCTCGATATATCCGCAAGTGAAGGAGCGCTTCTTATATCTGTAATGGGGATTTTTAACACTGTATCAAGGGTTTTGGTTGGTTTGTTGACTGATCAATCCTGGGCAGACTGCATCATCATCAATGGTACCATGCTTTTCATTGGAGGGATAACCACGTGCTGTGTGCCGCTATATACCACGTATTCCATCTTGATGGTGTATTCCGCTCTATTCGGCGCTACTGCAGGTAGGTTTTTGACACCAATAAACTCTCGAGTAATGATATATTGTGACATTGTAAAAAAATATGTAAATTTGACGTCACACAACATCACAAACTTCGGTCAGTGTTTCCAGCAATATTTGCAGAAACGTTAGATATTGTTTCTATTACATACTGGATATTTACAGAAGCTGTCTTTTTTTCTTGTTTAGCTCAGTAGGAACTCTATAAATTAAAAAAGGCAAGACTTGCTATATCAATTCTTTGAAAAACCATAACATCGCAGTAGTGATGTAAACGAATGCTATATTCTTATTATCACGTTGCTTAACGCCATTTGACAACACTTTCATTTTATGCCTTCGTCACACAATGAGTGTATTCAACGTATCACAACTGATGTATTGATATAAAAAAAACATCGGCTTTATTTCATTTTTCATTATATACCTTCGTCTTTCATGAAATCATAATGGATGCACGAAATTACAACGTCACACTTAAAAGGGAAGGATTGTTGTCACCCTACAGACAATCACCCCGACAATGAGTGTATTCAACGTAACACAACTGATGTATTGATATAAAAAACATCGGCTATGAAGAGGTAACGTATTTGATAACAAGGGTTTCATTTTGAGAAGCTACCTGGATTGGCATCGATTTACATGGCAGGTTGGGCAGATGAAGTCCAAACTCATCGTGTCATTTTAAGTGCCCCTGTGAAAAACTTACTTTTGCTGATATTTCCATTTATTTTCTTTATCATTGCATGAATGATTTGTTTTTCACCTTTGTATGTTGGCCTCAAAATTAGAACTCAAACCCAAATTCAACGAAACTAGGGAAAATATGCAAAAAGGTTACTTCTGAAAATAAGCAAGGCGAATGAAATAGGGTGTTTCTGAAAAGTGATATCGACGACTTCCGTCATGCTAATCCTGATTAATGTCATGTTCCCAAATGAAAACAATGCTAACAGGTATATCAAACACATCCAGCTTCATGTCGCACAACGAAATAGAATATTTCTCGATGAGATCACTTTGATGACAGTGAAACTTTCCCATAATTTTCACCAACCTGTATCTCTTGAAACCCTTTGTTACGAGTTTGTCCGGCAGTTGACGAATTCTTGCACGAAAAATAATAGGAACAAACAGAGATTATCGAACCAACTGCGAAATGCAAACAAAATAGGTTGTAAATGCAAGGATGTTGCAATCCAGAAATGGAAAATTCACCATAGGGAAATTGAAATCATAAAGCCTATTATACTGCTTGGCGGAAAGCTGTAAATGTTAGTTCCATATTGCATTAGGAAATAAAGTAAAATATTTCCCAATGAGATTATAATGACGAGTATAAAACATAATCTTTATAAACTTTTCGGGGTTTTGGCTTTTTTCTGCTTGTAAAATAAGGAATTGGAACACGTTTTTCATATTGACATTTCAGGAACATTCGTGGTGTTGAAGTCGATCATCCTGGTAGAAATAAAGGGAGTTAAATGGCTATCTAATACTCTTGGATTTGTGAACTTCATATTAAGCATATGTGTCTTCATAGGATCACCAATTGCAGGTATTACAAAGCACACTAGATTTTCCTGTTTATCAAGTCTTTTTAGAAAGTATTAAATCATAAACATGCTTGTATTGCTAAAACAAAACTTCCTTAAGCTTGGTCAGGACTTGTTAGAATTCACACTAGACAATAGCTTTCTCACTTTAATTAAATTGGTATTTTGACATACATAATAAACATGCTTGCTATTCGCTTGTTGAGGGAGAGAGAATATTGTAGGAATTGTCGATAAAGCAGAAGATGCAGATTATGTTGTACACCCTATCAACATCTATGTGCAAGCTTACAGCTGTTGGGTGTAAGCTTACAGCGCATTCAAAAGTCTTTGTTATCGAAGTTTAGGTTAGTAGAATTTGTTGATGTCTTTATTTACTTTATTCATTATCAAATTGTTATTATTTTTTACAGGAGCATTGTCAGATCTAACAGAGAGCTATGACGCAGCATTTTACTTTGCCGGTGGAACGATAGGACTAGCGGGGTTGATGTGTTTTCCAATGCGTTGTATTGCAAGATGGGAACAAAATAGTAATCCCCATCAAGACGAGACCACAGAACCTCGTCTGATGTCAATACTCCACATATAGTATGAAAGTATCAACTAAATATCAGTTTATTCCACTCTGTACACTTTCACATCCCATTTCAAACAAAAGGAATCTAGTACTCTTTATCTTTTTTCTTTAGAATTGAGGTGCGTATATAAATAAGAAGGCAATGTTGTTGCCATGTCAATGTATATATCTAAATGAATACCTGGTTTTTTTTTTTTATTTAATTTCCCCATGGGAGCATTTTTTATGTTGAAAATTCCTGCTTCGCGAACTTGCTGTGTCCAAATGTCTCCGTTGATTCGATATAAAGGGCTTGTTTCAAACATTACGATTTCAGTAAAAGATATCGACAGCTTCCAGGTAACCTTACAACACAGGTTATCGAGAAATGCAAGTTGATTAAGTGTATAAATGCTTGATCTAAAATTTATTATCAGGATCTTCTATTTCTTGGTGAAGCAGAATGCGTTCATGATCGTTTGTATGCCTTGTGGTTTAGTTGTTAACCCTGTGCTTATTTGAGAACGGTAAAATATTTACCAAGATTGACATCGTGGGTATATGGAAGCATTTCAAAACACTTACAACACAATCAGTTGAAGATGAAAATGTGACATTTCGTTGACAATACTGTCACCTTCATCAGAAAAATACAAGACACAAAACACCAAGGAAAGGAACAATCTGAAAGGATGAGTAGTAATCCCTTATAGTAATGCCTGGCAGAAACCATGCAGAGGATTCACCGTGGATATACTATTGCAACATGAAACTTCACAAGACTCTCTAGTCTATCCTAATATAATGGAAGAAAACTTTATACAATTTTTGTCCCTACTGTATCTAATTCTTTATTTGTAGTAAAAGGTACTATTCACTTGTGTGCCTTTTGTACAATCTTTGTCCCTACTCTATCTAATTCTTTATTTGTATTAAAAGATAATATTCACTTGTGTGTCTTTTGTAAAATCTTTGTCCCTACTGTATCTAATTCTTTATTTGTATTAAAAGGTACTATTCACTTGTGTGTCTTTTGTACAATCTTTGTCCCTACTGTATCTAATTCTTTATTTGTATTAAAAAGTACTATTCACTTGTGTGTCTTTCGTACAATCTTTGTCCCTACTGTATCAAATTCTTTATTTGTATTAAAAAGTACTATTCACTTGTGTGTCTTTCGTACAATCTTTGTCCCTACTGTATCTAATTATTTATTTGTATTAAATGGTACTATTCACTTGTGTGTCTTTTGTACAATCTTTGTCCCTACTGTATCTAATTCTTTATTTGTATTAAAAAGTACTATTCACTTGTGTGTCTTTTGTACAATTTTTATCTCTATTGTATCTAATTCTTAATTTGCATATATCGTATAACAGATAAACACACACCCTCATTTACAGACACATGTATGGATTACATACTACACTATACGTACATAACACAATCAAGGGAGGTAACTCAAAACTTACAGCGTATAACAGATAAGCGCACAACCTCATTCACACAGACACATGTATGGATTACATCTACACTATACGTACATAACACAATCAAGGGAGGTAACTCAAAACTTACAGCATATAAGTTCACCCTCATTCACACAGACACATGTATATACTACATCTACATTATCATTAACGATAACATTTATAAGATAGTATACATGGAATAGTAAAACGTTAATGGTAGAGTGATCAACAGTTTATATAGTGCAATTAATGCACTGGTCATGATTTTATGTTCTACTTACTTCTGTGTTGATAACTCTGATCGATGCCAAGTACATGCTTTGGCATGATAAAGTGAAAGTATGTCCGATCGTATCTTTCAAACGAACGAAAGACCGGAATATCAGGACGAGTCCAAAATTTAGTTATCTCCCCTCGAGAACTAGGGGTATTGATGACACAGTTCTTTATTACCCGCAAGCTGCAGTTCTCTGTTGTCTTATATTCCTATCGGCCACCTGATGACGACCATAGAAGGTATGAGTAGCAGTATAGCGTGCATGCAATATAACAGGACTGATAGTGTTTACTGGTGATAGGCCTGAAAGATTGCCTCATCCGATGTAATTAAAGTTGCCTCAGTGAGATAGTCGCTATATGGATCCTGTGAATGGGTTCGTTAGGCCTAGTTCCAACTACGTGTAGATTAGTTCGAGGCAACAGTGAGATTAGTTGCTCAACCCACTATTTCATTTCAGTAATAATTACCATAACTTTAGTATGCAAATACAGTACCTACACCCATCTTTGTATCCCAACAACAAAAGATTCAAAAGAAAAACAATCCCGCCCTCCCTACGATCCATGAGCCATCACGGCAGGAACGCAGAGTGATCTCCCTTCCTCTTACCTTTATGGCTGCCGACGAGTGCGGAGGTGTCTGAGCTAAGTGCTTTTCTTACTCCTTCTCTTCGTACTGCCATTGTCGTTTGAGTATATTGTTACTCTATTAGTAGTCTATAAACCCATCTCCCAACTTATATTGTGAAATTAAGTATTGTCATTTGTTTATTTTGACCGTATTTCCGGCCGTTTTTTCCTCCACGTATTCGAGTGCGTGACTACTTGTCTCGTTGATCGGATTTGCGTGAAGTTGGAATTTGTTTTTCTTGCTGCTTTGTCGGCCGTGTTGTACGGCCGTTTTATTTATGCAGTGCAATCTTGCTACGTACGGTAGGCTTTGTGCTCTCGTTCGTAGTTTTTTGATTGTTCGAGAACTTCGTTTCCGGCCGTGTTTTTCCTCCGCGTGTTCGAGTGCGTGACTACTTGTCTCGTCACTCGGATTTTCGTGAAGTTGAAATTGTTTTCTTGCTGCTTTGTCGGCCGTTTTGTACGACCGTTTTCTTTTTTTGCAGTACAATCTTGCTGCGTACGGTAGGTTTTATGATCTCGTTCGTAGTTTTTTGATTGTTAGAAAACTTTTTATCCTTGTTTTCATTGTTACAATTTTTTATTGTTTCGATGCTGGATAAAGGTGCCGGGTTTACGTCGGGGGTCAGCGCATGGATGTTCCTATTTCTATAGATAATGGGAACCCCATGATACCTGTCCCATTTGCCGACATTGCAGCCAGACCTCGCTATGTGAACTTTGTTTGCACATGGAGTCTGCTGCTTAGGCTACCATGCCTTTCCAGCTAACTTTCCGCCGGAAGAGGAATTCGTCCTCTTCTTCCGGTAAGGGAAGTAAGCTTTTTAAGACCTCCCTCCTCAAGTTCTGAACCAGAGCGTTCCTGCTGGGGGTGCTCTCGTTCCACCGAGCTCCGCCCTTCAGCAGGGGGTGGCTCCCCCTGTTCAGGTGCGTCCTGGAGTAGGGGGGGGGGGCAGCCCGACCCTGACTCGGCGCAGTCAAGGGTCGAATTGGCCGGTAGCTCTCGATAGGCGGCGGTGTTACCGTCGGAAAGGGACTTCCGGTCGAGGTCTCTGATTCTTTCAGGGACCTCGGCGCGCCAGGTGGCGTCGTTGGTGGGGGCCGCTTTGACTCCGGAACTGTGCCTTCGGGTATAGGGTCAGGGGCCACAGACTTTTTGTCAGGATTGTCTGTGGCTACGGGGATTAGTGACACTTGAGTTCACTAATCCTGGTGTCAGCGCGGGGTCTGTTTTCCCACCCTCACAGGCTTCTGGCTCTGGGACTTTCCGTCCCTATCCAGATTTCCCAGTGCAGGGTTTCCCAGGGGGTTTTCCCCCAAGGGTTTGGGGCTTCAGGCCAGGAGTCCGGTTTCCGGTCTCCCTTTCCCCCGGGCTCAGGGAGTAGGGGTGCCTGCGGGCACTTATTCCTGGGTCGCCCAGGCCAACCTGCGGATGGTTTTGGGTACCAACAGTTACTCAGCAGTTACGGGCTTAGCCCGTACATGTCTGGGTTTCCACCTGGTGGGAGTGGCGGTTCATCCTGGTCCTTTGGACAGGGTGTCCAGCCCCAGACTCAGGCAGGCCATCTTGGCCAGTTCTGGGGTCACTCCCGGCCCGCTGGACCGTTCCCATTCCCTCAGGGATTTGGGTTTTTACCCCATGGGTCTTCACTCGTGGAACCCATAGGGGTTGGTCTCTCCTCTAGGAGATGTTATAGCAGTGCGGAATCCCCCCAATGTTCTGCTACTTCGGGGGCCTTGTTGGCCGGTCCTATAAAGGTTTGCCAGACCTTAAGGACTTCCGCCTCCAGCGCGGACCCGTCGGTCTCCTGTTCCCAGGGGTCGGCTTCGGGTCTCCGACCCAAGCCTACAGCTACGGCTGTTGGTCGCGCTGCGTCCAAATGCCATAAAGAGGAGTTCCCCTCTGCGAAGATGGCTCCTCTGGCGGCCCCTGTTCCTCCCAAGGGGACTTCGGTCTCTATTGAGGAGGAGATGGACATCGAGGGTGCGGGCTCGGCAGAGGAAGACGATGTCATACATCTTTCTCCTGGGCCAAGAGGGTTCACAAGGGGAAGATGGCCCTGAGACTGCTGAAGCCGAGGCTCAGCATGTGCTTTCTGGGATGCAGGTCCTCCGGGCCAACATCTCCCGGATTCTCAGGGCGGAGGTTTGCCCACCGCCTCAGCATCGTCGGCGCCTGAATCCACCATCCTTCTGGGTTCCCTGGTGGCTCCTCGGGCTTCCGTTCGCTCAGATCGGTCTCTGCCAGAAGGCAATATCATGTCTTCGGTTCTGGCCACGGCCCGGGCTCCGGTTTTAGAGAAGGACTCCTTCTCTACCCGTGCTCCCGGGTTTGTCGGTCTGCAGCTCAGTGTTGGTGAATTGTCGGAGGCTTCAGCTTCCGACTATGCCACACATGATGGGCAGCTGGCCTCTCAACCAGCACAGCTGGAGTTGAGACAGCTGGCTGCCTGGCCCGGCAAATCAGTGGACCAGGTGGTGCTCGATCCCAAAGAGCACCACAGGATGGAGAGAATGTTGCACCTCTCCATCCAAGTTCTGTCATACATAGACTTCCTGACAGTTTGTCTATACAGGGTATCCGATTTGCCTG